CGAGGAAGCATCGAGTGTACGTATGCTTCCTTTATAGTACGTATGTGTACTTCCGATACAGTACGTACGTATCTGTTGCATTATCCCGGACAGGAATGTTGCTTCAATATTGCAATATTACTTACTGCTAGACTGTAGCAATCATATCTTCAATGTTTTCAACAGGGGGTTCCTCCTCTGCTGCTGGGTCTTCAGGAGTAGCATTTGCATTAGTAGTTCCCTTGTAAGGAACAAGCTTCCTGATGTTGACTGTTTCACGTACGTTGTCACTTCTTTGCAACACGACAGTCCCATTGGTGTTGATTTCCACTGTAGGATATGGACCATGTAATCTTTGGGACAGTTTGTCTGGTTCATAGAATTTCATATAGGCCTGCTGTCCAACCTGATATTTGAAAGGTATTCTTTGAGCATTCTCTCTCCTAAGATTCTCATCGATTTGCTGTTGTCTTTTATCTCTGATAAGATTCAAATCAGCAATGATTGGAATATCCATCACCATGTCTCTGTTGTAGACCAACGCTCCTGGTGAGGTCTTCACTGCTGCATTTACTGCACACCTGGTAGCATGCATTGCAGATGCAAGGGCATTGTCGATAATCTGATCTTCATCAAATTCAGCTTCTTCAAGTGACTTGCTTGTGTGAAGGGTCGCTCGTAGAACATTGGCAATTGTCTGATGAACYCTYTCACAMACTGCATTTGCCTGTGGATTCTTCACAGTGGTTTGGACACTCTTAATTCCGTATTGATTAAAGAGCTGCTTGAATGGGCTTCCTATGAATTCTTTGCCATTGTCATGGACACATCTGTTGGGCCTGGGATATCGTGACAACCAACAGTTTGCAAATTGATCCGCAACATGCTCACTTGATTTGTTGTTGATTCTGATGATTTCCAATAGGTTAGTGACTGGATCAATGCAAGTGAGGGCATTGATCACTAATTCAGTTTCATCCAGGAGAAGTATCTTCCAGGGACCRATTAAATCAACACATACTTCATTCCAGGGGACAAGCTGAGCTTCTCGAGCTGGTAATAAGCCATGTCCCTGGCCTTGTTGTTTGAATCGATGGCACTCATCCGGACACTGGTATTGTTTACATCTTACGCTGAGTCGGGGAGCATAAAATCTGGCACTGATAGTTTCATAGAGCCGGGTGCTGCCACAATGCCCTAATAGTAGATGATACCATCTGAGGGTCTTGTCCACTAGACCATCGGGCAAGTAGATCATCCAATTACTGTTGTCATTCGTGGATACAGTGAGTAGTTCAAAGGTGCCTATTCTTCTCTTTGCATAGTGTGCTG